AAGATCGTGGTGTCACCCAGACAGACAGGAAAATAGACACGGAGGTCGCTGGCCTTAAAACTATGCTCGAGTCACACAAGCTTGACAATATTAAATATTTAGCAGGGTCTGTGTTTACATGCCTAACAGTAGCTCTGGGATTTTATCGCCTATGGATGTAATAAATTCTCTTTTTAAAGAGCAAAAAAAAAAAGTCTGGCTAGGGGTTATCTATTTTGTTTATTTTCTCAACGAACCAGCTCTTGGTTTCATTGATTTTTTTCTATTGTTTAATTCTTCTCAGTTTTATTTATTTCTTCTCTGATCTTATATTATGTCCCTCTTTCTGCTGAATTTAGGCCTTGTTCTTTTTTCCAGTTTCAATAATTGTGATATTATACTATTGATTTGGGATTGTTCTGTCTTCTCTAAATAGGCGTGGATTGCTATATACTTTCATCTTAGAACTGCCTTCACTGCATCCCACAGAAGTTGGGGCACTGTGCTGTTGTTGTCATTTGTCTCCATATATTGCTTCATCTGTTTTAATTTGGTCATTGATCCATTGATTATATAAGAGCATGTTGTTAAGCCTCCATGTGTTTGTGAGCCTTTTGTTTTCTCTGTACAATTTATTTCTAGTTTTATACCCTTGTGATCTGAGAAGTTGGTTGCTAGAATTTCAATCTTTTTTAATTTACTGAGGCTCTTTTTGTGGCCTCATATGTGGTCTATTCTGAAAAATGTTCCATGTGCAGTTGAGAAGAACGTGTATCCTGCTGCTTTTGGGTGTAGAATTCTGTAAATGTCTGTTAGGTACATGTGTTCTAGTGTGTTGTTCAGTGCCTCTGTGTCCTTACTTATCTTCTGTCTGGCTGAGCTGTCCTTTGGAGTGAGTGGTGTATTGAATGCATTGCATTCTTTTCCTCCTTTAATCCTGTATTTGTTTCACATATGCTGGTGCTCCTGTATTGGGTGCATAGATATTTATAATGGTTATGTCCTCTTGTTGAATTGCCCCCTTTATCATTATGTAATGTCCTACTTTATCTCTTGCTACTTTCTTTGTTTTGAAGTCTATTTCGTTTGATACAAGTACTGCAGTACCTGCTTTTTTCCCTACTGTTTGCATGTAATATCTTTTTCCATCCCTTCACTTTTAGTCTGTGCATGTCTTTGGGTTTGAGGTGAGTCTCTTGTGAGCAGCATATAGATGGGTCTTGCTTTTTTATACATTCTATTACTCTGTGTCTTTTGATTGGTGCATTCAGTCTGTTTATATTTAGGGTGATTATCGATAGATGTGTACATACTGCCGTTGCAGGTTTGGATTCGTGGTTACCAAAGGTTCAGGAGTAGCTTCTTTACTATCAAAGCATCTAACTTTAACTCACTTATTACGCTATTATAAATACAGTCTGATGATTCTTTATTTCTCTCCCTTCTTATTCTTCCTCCTCCAATCATTATATGTTAGGTGTTTTATTCTTTACCCTTTTGTGTTTCCCTTGACTGCTTTTGTGGATATCTGATTTTATTTTTTGACTTTAGTTAGTATTTGGTTGATCTGCTGTGATTTTGTTTTCTCTGGTGACATTTATTTAGCCTTAGGAGTACTTCCGTCTAGATCAGTCCCTTTAAAATACCCTGTAGAGGTGGTATTTGTGAGGTAAATTCCCTAAACTTTTGCTTATCTGGAAATTGTTTAATCCCCCCTTCAAATTTCAATGATAATCTTGCTGGATAGAGTATTCTTGGTTCAAGGCACTTCTGTTTCATTGCATTAAATATATCATGACATTCTCTTCTGGCCTGTAAGGTTTCTGTTGAGAAGTCTGATGGCCTGATGGCTTTTCCTTTGTAGGTGATCTTTTTTCTCTCTCTGGTGCCTTTAATATCTTGTTCTTGTCTTTGATCTTTGCCATTTTAATTATTATATGTCTTGGTATTGTCCTCCTTGGGTCCCTTGTGTTGGGAGATCTGTGGTCTTCATGGTCTGAGAGAATATTTCCTTCCCCAGCTTGGGGAATTTTTCAGCAATTATTTCTTCAAAGACACTTTCTATCCCTTTTTCTCTCTCTTCTTCTGGTACCCCTATAATGTGAATATTGTTCCATTTGGATTGTTCTCACAGTTCTCTTAAGATTTTTTCATTCCTAGAGATCCTTTTATCTCTCTGCCTCAGCTTCTCTGTATTCCTGTTCTGATTTCTATTCCATTAATAGTCTCTTGCACCTCATCAAGTCTGCTTTTAAGTCCTTCAATTGATTGTTTCATTTCTGTTATCTCCCTCCGGACTTCATCCCTTAGCTCCTGCACATTTCTGTGCAGCTCCATCAACATGGTTATGACTTTTATTTTGAATTATTTTTGAGGAATATTGGTTACATCTATATCACCAGGCCTCTCTCGCATTGTTTGAGTGATTTTGGACTGGACCAGTTCTTCTACCTTTTCATGGTGGTAGAAGTGTTCACCAGCAAGTGGCACATGTGTCAGCTGGGAGAACAAAGTCTCTTCCTGCTTGCTGGTTGACTTTTCTCTGCTGCCTGTGCCGGTTACCCATACACAGGGACCAGTCTCTGGATTAATCCCGAGCTGCTGTGGGCAGGGCAGCCCTCAGGATGGCCTAGTGCACTGCTGGGGATTGCAGGCACATAGCATGTGCTCTCCTGCAGAAATGGCACCCCATCATACCTTCCAGACTTTGCCCCAGCTTCCTCTGTCTGTGCAGGGCAGCTCTGTCCTGGCGGCTGCCTCTGGGTCTAGCCCAGTTAGCTTCACGCTAGGAGAACACTCTGTGTGGTTGCTGTGGGTGGGGCTGCTCCCTGGCAGGTCTGCAACGGTGGGGGGTCAGTCGGTTTGCCTGCAGTGCAGGTGAGAGGTAATGAACAGAAGGCTGCTTATCACTGTGAGGGGCTTTGGAGCTGTGTTGCCACTCAGGGGGTTAGGGCACCTGAAGTTCCTTAAGATTCCCAGCTTGCTGGGCTGGGTGTGCTGGGATTTTGTCCCCCTGTTAAACCCTTGTACCTTTAAGACTTTTAAAGTGCCTGCTTTTCTTTTGTACCAGGGGAGCCGGCTGTGGGGACACACTCACAGTCTCCATCTTGGATTTACTTTTCTGTTTCTCTAATATCCAGTACACCATGCAATGTGTGTCTGTGTTCCCAGTGTAGATTACTAGAGCTGGTTATTTAGCAGTCCTCTGCTTCCACTCCCTCCCCACTCTGATTCTCTCCTGCCGGTGAGCTGGGGTCAGGGAGTGATTGGGTCCCACTGGGTCACAGCTTTCTATCTTACCCTTTTGGTGAGATGTTGAGTTCTTGCAGATGCAGATGTATCCTGGCTGTTGTACTGTATCTTCTGGTCTTTCTTTTAGGAATAGTTGTATTTGCTGTATTTTCAAAATATATATGGTTTTGGGAGGAGATTTCCACCACTCTACTCATGCTGCCATCTTCACAGGCTCCCAGAAATAGTAGGTTTAACTATTTACTTTTTACATATAAGGGAAACTGGAGCACTGAAGCATCCTCAAGTTAATTATCAAATATGAAATATAGTTATCTCATTAAAAGAACTAATTCTGGAGCTAAATGCCTAGATCAAATCCTGGCTCTGCTATTTGCCAACTATTCAACTTTGGGCAAGCAGTAGTATCTCTGGGTCTCAGTTTCTTTATCCATAAAATAAAAATACTTTATGTACCTTGTAGGGACATAAGTTTATTATATATAAGACAAAACAACCTTAAGCAAAACAACCTTAAGGTTTGATTAAATAAACTACAGCATACTCATTCAATGAAATTATGCAGTCATCAAAAATAATGTATATTCGCTGGGATAGAAAAATAGTCACAATATAAAAACAAAGTTACAAACACTATAGAATAAGCCATTTTTGTTATAAACAAGTCAGTAAGAAGTAGAAAAACAGACAACAAAAATAAACAATAGTTGTATCACAGTGATTTTTTCTTTTGTTATCTGTTTTTTCTATAACATGTATCGTAATTTTTCAAGTGAGTTTTTTTAATACGTTAAGAAATGTCTAAAATCCAGTTATTAATCATCTTATTTGTTTCACGGCCCTATATGTCACTGTCTCTCATAAATAACAATGCTTTAAAAGAATTTTTAAGGAAGAATACAAAACTAAGATGTATCTGAAAGACAGAATACAGTGGGATTACCAACTTTGTTATTTTTAATATAGTTTAAAACAGTATTTGGTTTTTGGCAACCACTTATATTATTGGTTTATATGAAGCTTTAAATCCTTTAGAACATCCTATATATAATGCAGATATTTTCTAAATTGAAATTTAGAAAGTTTGTTAATCCTCTTAAAATTTATCTTTTCATTTAAAGCCCACCACTTAAATTTAGCTATTTTTAAAAAATCTTACTACACTGATTGACAGTGTCTGTAATGGGGTATGTGGGGGGGACTTGATAATAGGGCAAGTGTAGTAACCATAATATTGCTCAAGTAACTGTACCTTAACAATACCGAAAGAAAAAAAAAATCTTATATTGTCATCCAACATATCTGCTAGACTACCAGCTTTATATCATTCACAACAAAATTAGAATGCCTTCTACAGCTAAACCACTGAAACAAAGTTACCCAGGTTAGAGTTAAGCATACACCTATGGAAATCTTTGTCCAGGTTGATAACCTAACTTAGTTTTGAGATGAACTTAAAACAATGAAATTGTGATGTCATTTCCTTGATTTTAGGGTTCTTAGTGGATAGGAATCTTGAAGATCCTCAAAGGTTCAGTGAATCTGAATCTGGGTTTTACTTAGAATTAATGAAAGACTAACCTTAAAAATTTTTTGAATTACATCAAAATGTTGATGGTAATCAAAGCTGCACCATGGAAACCTGGGATTCACTGTACTGTTCTTTGTACTTTAGTCTATTTGGAAATTTTCATAACTTGAAAAAGATAAAAAAAACTTCTTTAGAATTCCAATCAATGAGATGACTCTATTTAAATTAGTGGTCTTACCTATTTTGTGGTAATAAGGCGTAAGAACTGAGGTTTTTACACAATTGATTCCTCCTAGTATCTCTGTTAACATTTTATAAATCTCCTGTTGTGCTCCATTCATGCTGCCAATATCTTTATGAAAATAAAAATAATTAGTTCACTTAATCAGTTTTTCAATAAATCATCCCAATTCTACAAACTGAAAAATAAAGATTGATATTTTCAACAAGAACTTCAGTGTAACACCAAAAGCAATGACACTAAATTCAGTACAAGTTGTTTGCACTCTACCAAAAGAGGTTTAGTACCCTAAAGATTAAATGATTCTATAACACAATCTCACCTACAAAATGGTTTCATTAAACAGGTCATAGCACTCTTGGGAATTCTGGTGTCATTATTAAGCTTAAAATAACATGAACATACTGCCTAATAAGTTACTTTGGGATTAAACTTTGCTATCTGACCCAAAGAAAACTCAGACCTTTACTATACTGTTGTTGACAGAAGCGGTCATGAAACCATGGAATCTGATACTCAGGGCATTCCAAGCAGACTGCTCTATTTAACTCCATGAGACGGAATTGGACCCGTGTATTTAGAGATGAACAGACAACTGAAATCAAAAACAAAATATTAATAGATTTTGGCAGCTTGGACCTAACAAAGACAATTCATTTTTCACATTCACTTATCCCTATTATTTACTGACACTTTATTTCTCATATTATAAGTCATTTCATTAGCAGACATATGCTTTATATTTTTAAATTACTACATTGAGAGGCATGATTAGGAGCAATTCCTATACTGTTTCGCTATGAATGTTAAAACTACATATTGAAAAATGTTATCTAAGAATTTTCATTGCCCTAATATTCCACATTTAGAAATCTATCCTAAGGAAACAATGAGATCAATGATTCATGCATAATACACCAAAACATTAAAAGAGGTAGTTTCACTTGATTATGAAGTAATCATTATGAGATTATGAGTAATCTTTAACTGTCTAGTTTCCTCTGTTTTCCAGATTTTCTACAATAAGCAGGAAACACTTTTATAAACATGACTAACATTTATATGCTTCAGTATAGAGCTGAAACTTGGATATAAAGTGCACTTGGATAAAAAGTGCTCTGATAATTTAATAAACGAAAATGTATATACATACATTCAAGTTGAGAATCCATTTTGGCTAAGAATTTGATGTTAAAAATTGTCTTTAGCAGATCTTCTGGAAAATATTCAAGCGTGGCCAAAGAAAAACCAAGAAACACCAACATGAGAGGATCCAATATACCTAAAACAAAATTAAGATTTAAAAAAAAACTATATGTAAAGCTGCCTCACATACACATAAACACATATTTTATTCCCAGTAAAAACGGGTCTCTAAAAAATATACAAATACAGCCTTGACAAAATGAATCTATACTGTTACAAAGTAGGATAATGGTGAAGTAATTTACCTTTGGGTCGGGGTAGAGTAGGAAAGGAGAGAAGGGTGCTGTGGAATAGGATCTAGGTACTGATGCCTTGGGTGACTCAAATTGTATAAATTCATACTAATTGCTGATATGTTAATGTTTCTTTATTATACTTCAATAAAAGTTGTTAAAATTGCCTTTTAAAAAGAAAACTCAAAACAAAAAAAGATGTGATCCCAGTTTCTATGTGTTGATGATAATAATGTAATAGTGCTCAGAATGTTAGGTATCATCCTAAGAACTTTATATATGTTAACTAATTTAAATCTCACTTCAGTATACAGTAGGAATGATTCTGATCTCTGCTTTGTACTTAAGTATACAGAGGTACAGAGAAACTAACTGATTTGCCTGAAGCCACACAAGTAGCTAGTGGAGGGTGAGATTTAACCTGGGGAGTCCAGGTCTGGAGCCTGGACCACTATATTGTACTGCTCTCTAATCTCCAGGCTGAGTGAGACACACATGCAGCTCAGGCTCCACTAGCACCTCCTCCGTTACCTTTCGCTCAGCAGAATAGCACATGTCTCAGGGTATAAGGCTTGAAGTTATTTGGCTGATCTGCCTTACCCACGAGACATTTCTGATGAGAGGGAGCTGATCCCTACTGGCAGAAATACTCTTACAAAGGAAAAAAATGTTAAATCTTTTCTTTTGGATTTTTTATCCAATAAATCAACTCATAAAAGAGGTTAATTGTGACCTCTGACAGCAAAATTAATTTGTCAAAACTAATATTTATTCAAAATTGTTATTCCATTACTTAAAATTTTACTTGCAAATGTCGCCAAGAACTTTCCAAATACTTGTAAGTCTTAAAAAAATCAGAGCTGTACTTCTAAACCTTTCTTCTACTTTATCTTATCCCTTCTTCTCCTATATTCTATTTTTTTTTTCTTAAGGATGTACTTTCATTTCCTTCTGGCTAACACATGACTGAACAACTTGAAATGCACACTCTTTTTTTTAGCATTTTTTTAATTGAGCTTTTTTGGTATCATTAATATACAATCACATGATTGTGGTTCCTAAATTTCTCCCCATTATCAAGTCCCCACCACATACCCATTACAGTCACTATCTAGCTCCATCCATGTTGTTGCAAATGGTAGGATTTGTTTTCTCGTTATGGCTGAATATTCCATTGTGTGTATGTACCACATCTTCTTTATCCATTCATCTACTGATGGACACATAGGTTGCTTCCATTTCTTGGCTACTGTAAATAGTGCTGCGATAAACACGGGTACATATGTCTTTGTCAAACTGGGCTCCTGCATTCTTAGGGTAAATTCCTAAGAGTGGAATTCTTGAGTCAAATGGTATTTCTATTTTTAGTGTTTTGAGGAACCTCCACATTGCTTTACACAGTGGTTGAATGAGTTTACATTCCCACCAGCAGTGTAGGAGGGTTCCCTTTTCTCCATATCCTTGTCAACATTTGGTGTTGTCTGTCTTTTGGATGGTGGCTATCCTAACTGGTGTGAGGTAATATCTCATTGTGGTTTTAATTTGCATTTCCCTGGTAATTAGCAATGTGGAGTATCTTTTCATGTGCTTGTTAGCCATCTGAATTTCTTCTTTGGAGAAGTGTTTGTTCATATCTTCCACTCATTTTTTAATAGGGTTATTTGGTTTTTGGGTGTTGAGACATGTGAGTTCTTTATATATTTTGGATGTTACCCAGTTGTTGGATATGTCATTTACAAACATATTCTCCCATACTGTAGGGTGCCTTCTTGTTCTTCTGATGGTGTCCTTTGCTGTACAGCTTTTTAGCATGCTGTAGTCTCATTTGTTCATTTTTTATTTTGTTTCCCTTGTCTGAGGAGATGCACGCAGGAAAAAGTTGCTCACGTTTATAGTCAAGAGTTTTGCCTATGTTTTCTTCTAAGAGTTTTATGGTTTCATGACTTACATACAGGTCTTTGATCCATTTTGAGTTTACTTTTGTGTATGGGGTTAGACAATAGTCCAGTTTCGTTCTCTTTCATGTAGCTTTCCAGTTTTGCCAACACCAGTTGTTGAAGAGGCTGTCATTTCCCTATTGCATATCCATGGCTCCTTTATTGTATATTAATAGGCCATATATGGTTGGGTTTATATCAGGACTCTCTAGTCTGTTCCATTGGTCTATGGGTCTGTTCTTGTGCCAGGACCAAATAGTCTTGATTATTGTGGCTTTGTAGTAGAGCTTGAAGTCAGGAAGTGTAATCCCCGTGTTATTCTTCCTCTCAGGATTGCTTTGGCTATTAGGGGTCTTTTGTGGTTCCATATGAATTTTAGAATGATTTTCTCTAGTTCATTGAAGAACGCTGTTGGTATTTTGATAGGAATTGCTTTGAATCTGTAGATTGCTTTAGGCAGGATGGCCATTTTGACAATATTGATGCTTCCTATCCATGAGCATGGGATGTGTTTCCTTTTATTGGTATCTTCTTTCTCTCACGAGTATCTTGAAGTTTTCAGAGTATTAGTCTTTCACTTCCTTTGTTAGGTTTATTCCTCAGCGTTTTATTCTTTTTGATGCAATTGTGAATGGAGTTGTTTTCCTGATTTGTCTTTCTGCTAGTTCGTTAGTGTATAGGAATGCAACAGATTTCTGTGTATTAATTTTGTATCCTGCAACTTTGCTGAGTTCAGATATTAGATCTAATAGTTTTGGAGCAGATTCTTTAGGGTTTTTTATGTATAATATCATGTTATCTGAAGTACAAACTCTTAATTCTCAGTTTCAAATTCTTCTTTCTTCACATCGTTGTTAATAAAAAGGGGTGTATATGAATGCCACACATGTATAGATCGACACACAAGTAATGTAACACGTCACAGCAGCTCCTTTGTCTCATCCATTAGCAGACACAGTGGTATCAGACACGGTCAGACTCTATAAAGCCAGCAGATCCCACAAGAATCTAGCAAAGTCCATGAGCACAATGCTGACATAATTAATGTATTCACACTGGTCTCCCACCAGCCTAACTAGAAATATCCAGGTCTAGAGAACATACTCTAATATTGAGCCTAACATCTTAGACTAGACATGGAAGCTCTCAGAAAGGATCTGCTGCTGGTGAATGATAGGATGCACCTTACTGTCCAGGCACTGCCAAAAGCTCTGAGGAAACTAGTCGCCGGTTGTCTCTCCAACCTCATCTCCTATCAGCTATGTCTCCCTCATTCCATTTCTGCCACACTGGATGCCAACAGAAATGAACATGTTGTCACCTAAGGGCCTTTTGTACTCACTTTTCTTTGTTCTGTGATTCTCATTCCCAGAAAGAGAATTGACAGGGATCATTCCTCCATTTCAACCAGTTTGTGGTAAGATGACATCATCAGAGAGGTGGTCCCAGACCCCATTATGTAAAGTAGCACTGCATCTCGCCCACACCGCTAAGCTCCATCCTATACACATTCTTGAATACTTAGCATCACCTGATCTTACGTATTTGTGTACTCTTTATGCCAATGTCTCCCTACTGGAAAAAATACTCTATGATGGTAAGGTCTGTTTTCTTTTCTCCTGTTATCTCCAGTGACTGGAAGACTGACAATAGGTACTTGGTGAATGTTGACTGAAAAGGCAGTAACTTAACCGAGCCAGGTAATTCACATCTAAAACTTCCACAATTATTACTGACAAGTAAAAGATGTGGGCCTGAAAAGAGAAGCCCCACAAATCCCTACTCCTTGAAGGTCAAACAGTCCCAAATATAATTCTGGAACCAAAATAAAATTGAAAAGGAAAAAAAAGTAACTTCCTTCCTCTGCTATCCTCACATACTGCTTCTGCCAAGACCAATAGCAGGAAGGATATTTCTGTTCTACTCGTTTCCAGTACTGAAACACTACTTAGAGACACATAGTAATTAGCACAAGAACTGCAACTTTGCCAACAATTAACAAACATCTACTCAGGCCATGAGAAATATTTTCTTTCTTTAAAAGAAAGCACAAACTATTAAAATTTACAGAAACCATCCAGTATTGTGTGTCTCTAGATGCGATAGGAACAAGTTAGACAGCACATTACCTGAATCTGATCAAAGCTCTATACTTAACTTGTAGTTTATTAGAAATACAAGAGATGGAGAAGCAAGTTAAAAGAAGGCAATCAGACAAATCTGTAGTGTGGTATAATGTACAAAAAAATGGGTTATCTATTTTATTAAAAATAAATAGCAAGAAAAAAAAGGGAGAAAGTAACATAAAAAAATCAACATTGGTTCCTTTAAAAAAAAGTTACAAAATACAATTTGATGATAATTGGGAGCATCTGATTATGGACCATGTGGGTAGAAGATATTTGTTCATTTTCTTAAACGTGACATTGGTATTGTGCTTATATAAGAGAATGTCCTTATTACCTGACATTTTTAGGGCTGATACTTCATCATACACACATAAACACACACAGCAAATGTGGCAAAACATTAATCATTATTCAAAACCTAGATTGGAATATATAGTATACAGATGTATATTCTTCATTCAATTTTTCTGTGTATTTGAAAACCCTGGTAACAAAAAGTTAAAAAACAAACCTTTTCCCCAAGTCAATGTCAAGGAAAACAAAAACACCAGACAATATTCTAGACTATAAGACACTAAAGGGATACAACATAACAGAATGAGTGAAACTTGGTTGGATTCTGTGTCCAACAGAATGAGGGAAATTTAAGCATGGACTGTGGATTATTAGGGTATTATTAATTTTCTCGGGTGTGATGCCAGCATTGTGGTAACATAGGTTACTGTTCTAAGGAGGTGTATACCCAAGCAATTAGGGGTGAAGGGCCTACAAGCTCCTTTGAAATAGCTCAGAAAAAAATAAGACAGCAAGAGAGACAAACAGTAAAGCAAAATATTATAAAACGTTAACAGTAACTGAATTCACCCAGTAAGTACATAGGTGCTCCTTACTTGACTCGTTCCATTTTTCCTGTAAGTTTGACATGTTTCATAACAAAAGTTTCAAAAATGGATACAACCTTTTTTTTAAGGTGTAGAACTCATGGCTATTATGATTATCCTTTAATCAAGAGAGAGGTCTCCCAGCATGGCAGCAATATTCTCTAACCCACTCATTCAGTGTATCACCAAACAATATACCTACTTAAGTAAGAATGAAGGTATTGGATGCATGTTCCAAAAAATTTATCCCTTTGAGAAGGATCATAGTTCAAGGTGCTAAATGGAAGAATAATAGCAGAGATTGCAAAAGGATGAATCTGTATAAACAGAATAAAAAATAGAATAGTTTAAACTTCAGTAAAACAAAATTTTAACCTAATTATTATTTCAGGTAGAAATCTTTTTCTAATATGCCAATAGTTAAATGATCATGCCTATAGTTAAATGATAAATGTACTACTGCTGATACTTTTTTTCCACCCTGCTATAACCAATTTAACCCCACCACTAATTTCTAGGAACTCCTAATGTTAATATAAAGAAAATCAATCTGATAATCTAAAACTTAATTTTTTTAGATATAAAATCCTGTTCTAAAAGTCACTAGTCATTAAAGTGAATAGGAATTAGTATCAGTAATTTCCATATCAGTGTATTTAATAAACTCATCACATAATGTAATTAAGGAAGTTTCTCAGTTTACAACCATCAGAATTTATTTTTCTTTCACTTGTTCATTTTTAATTTCATTATTCACTCATTCATCTAAAACATAATGATTGCCAGGCAATATGCTAAGTAAATAAGACTAGTTTGTGAGAAATACTGTCTCTTAAATAAAAGCCTTCTTCTGATACAGATTTTAAGTAAGCTACTTCTCACATAATCCAAAGGCAGCATTTTACAAGGAAATTCCAGGAATAAATCTGTAAAACACACTGACAAGTTAAGAATACTAAAGCCATTGGATACCTCTTATTTTTCTTTTTTCACACTTACCTCACACTTTTGAATGTAGTTGTTTTTAAATAGTAAAAGCAGTATCACAGGATTATAGAAAATAAGAAAAAAAGGAAAACAAAAAATCATTCATACTCTACTATCCTAATACAATTAGTATTAAGTATTTTCTTCTAGTCAATGAATTTTGACTATTGATCTTAACACTATTGTAATAAACAAAACCATGGCTGCTAATCTCCCCAAATCTAAACTGCTGGAGGAGGAGGCTTTAGGGGAGGAACAAGAAATTGCTGAACATAAAGTAGAGCTTAATTTTTAAACTTCAAATTCCAACCAATTTCTCGGAGTACTTATGACAAACATTTATGCTCTACAAGTTGACAGCTATATAAAACTAATGTATGACATTCAACTTTCACCTTTTCAATCTGTTGAACAACCACTGAGGCTATCTTATCAAGTAGCGAAGTACTGAGGTAGTTAGTTCTAGACACAAAAGATGCAATCCCTGCAACATTTATGTAATTAATTTCATCCATCAAACGATGTAAAGTAGCAACTGTCTCTTCAAGAAGTGACTCAGCAAACCAGTCTCCCTTTAAAGATTTAAGTTCCTGACATAAAAGATTCAAATTGTTGCATTTTTGTAGTCTCTGATGACCATAGTGATCTAATCTTTGAAGTAGTTTCAGTTGTTTCACAGTAGTACTATCCAGATACATGTGATCACTCTGAATCCATCGTAAAACAGATGTGGCCAAACCATTCAGGTCACTTAGGTCACAATGTGGTGAAACTGCTTCAATTTGAGATATCCCCACTTCATCTAGGTGAGGAGATGGAAGCATGGAAATGGCACAGACCAGGATGGAAATCTCACTGGGTATGACACTAGTTTTCAGATAACTATAAAGGAAGGGGGAGAAAGTGAAAAGAACAAAATCAATACATCAGCAACAAAATACACATAGTTATTAAATTAAACATAGAATTACTTTAATAGATGTGGTAAGCTTAAAATATAAGTTGGATAAATTCAATGGTAGGGCCATAAAGGGTTGCTAAGGGAAGCCTAAGATGTTCTAAGACACAGCCCAAATTTTTTTATGCAAAAATAAAACCCCAACAAACAAAATATCAGTGTCAGAACAATGTTTTCAATGTAGCTAGAAACAGAATTTGGGCTGAATCTCTGATATGACCTGTCAGGCCCTGCCATACAGTGATCACTCAGTTAACATGGATTCTTCTCTCACCTCTGCTATATAGGAAGTTTAACCTCAGAAACAAAACAAAACAAAAAAGCAAGAAACAGAAAACAGAACATACAGTTGGCCCCATTCCCTACTCCTTCTTTCCCAAAGCCCTATGGTAACAGTTCCACCCCCAAGGTTAAGGGTCCCACCACCAGGACAGCAGTTGCTAAAATCCAAATAAAAAATTGTGAACTTTTAAACAATATTTTGGTTTAGAAATACTAGAAAAGAAAATCAGATCTACATTTAAACAGTTACATTTTGAAATATTAAGTTAGCATATTAAACTAATCATAATCAATTCAAGCAAGGGTGCACTGATACAAGCATTCTCATTCACTATGAGTAAACTTAAAAGGTTCTTGTAACCTTTCTGGAAAATAATTTAGCAATATGGCATAAGAACTCTAAAAGTAATTATATCATTCGACATGGTCAATTCCTGTCTAGGAAACTAGCCTATGAAAATAACATAAAATGTAGGAAAAGATTTGTTATATTATATTATTTATTATATTTTTAATGAAACTAAAATTTGAACACAATCTAAGTACCCAATGAGGGTAACACTTAAGTGAATCATGGTGGAATCATATGATGGATAATATCCAGTCATTAAAAGGATTTACAAATAGTTGTAAATGATGTGGGAAAATGCTGATAAATGGAGAAATTAAAGAGTACAAAATTGTATGTTCATGATTCTCAACTTGAAAGAAAAAAATTATACATATACATGCATAAATACAAACCACAAATTAATAAACCAAATTGTTGACTGTGGATGAATGGGTTTATGAATTTTTCTTAACATTTTTTCCTATTTTCCAAAATTCTCAAAATTATTTTTATGAAATATTTGTCTGACACAAAATACATACTCAATTAGTACTAAATGAATATTTTATGCTTATAACCACAAAAAATGAATACACCATTTTGTATAAAGGAAATCCCCAAAAAGCTGTATCTGTTTGCAGAACTGACCCCGAGATATAACTCTCAATATTTTCCAATTTTGTGGTACTTGTCTAAAAATAAACCCCCTAACGGACACAATCTCTCCAACCTTCACTTGATATTTTTCCTTGCATCACTTCCTCAAATTCCAAAACCTGCATGTGTGTGTGTGTTTACTTAGAATACCACCACAAACACAAACACACAAATACAACTAAAATTAGAAAATAAAAGTATACCAAATGTGGGCAGGAACATGGAGCAATAGGAATGTTCACATTTCGTTGGTGGAAATATAAACTGGTACAAACACTTTAGAAAAACATTTAGTAGGATCTACTGAAGATGATAAGTATAACCTATGAGCCAACAATTACATTACTTGGTAAGTATCCACAGAAATGCATACATGTGTTTACTAAAAGATATGCAGAAGGATATTCTTAACAGTACCACTTGTAACAGCCAAAACTGGAAATAAATCAAATGCCCACCCATTTGGATCAAAAATCCTGTTATAGTCTTACAAGAGAATACTAAATATAAGTGATCTCAAATGGACTTTTACCTTCCTCAGCAGCTCTAATCTTTTCATAGTTATTCTATTCCTCCAAGAAAGGAGAATGTCTTGGCTTTTACTGTTACTCACTCCCTAGGGAGCTCATCACTCTATTGGCTTCATTTCAAAATATACCAGGCATGAGCAGAATAGGCATGGGGCACTGGGGAAATAAGCGTCTTAACATTTTAAATAATAAGTTGCCCAATTCTTTCTCCAAAAGTTAGAACAATTCTGTGCATAACTGAACAAACTAATATTGAGGGCAGATTATAAAAACTAAACAAACCCTCCTATTTTAACCTTACCTAAGCAGTAATTCTCTAAGCTTTACAAAAAGCTCTTTACGGTGAAAATGTAGAAAAACCAATCCTCGAGTTATCTTCAATAACTCTACTGGTTTATAGTTATCCAAATGTTTAAGCAGAACTGAAGCAATTCTAAAAAGAATGAAAAACATGTATGATAACCAGTTTTTTCATTTATTTATTAAACATTTACTGAGGAGCTCTTTCATGACAAAGACATGCTCTACGCTGCCAAAACAGCAACAAATGAGATAAAGTTTACTGTTTTTAAAGAACTGTCTCAAAAGGGCAATAGAAATGTGAACAGTTAAAAAGAATAGCGCTATCAATGAAGTGTGAATGAAATAATGTTTAATTAATAGTAAAAGAAAGAAAAGCATTTAGTTTTACTTCCTAAGTAAAAATATCTCATGGAAGAGCCATCAAATTTCACATCTACCCCCAAAAAAATCTTTACCAAGAGTTACTAACAATTAGCAAAACTAATTTATTTTCTTGAATAAATCCACTGGCCCTCTAATGGCGATGCTTAAAATCAATGGGAAATAACTAAGAGGAAGTAAGTTGGAAGAAATGGAGAGGAATATTTTTAAATTATTTACCAGTTCCTTTCATATCTAATCATTTAATGTTAGAATTGTTCACTACTCCTATATAATGTAAAAAATCTTAAAAGGAACATATAATAGATAATGAAAAATTAAGTATATGAAATTTGAACTATGTATTTTTTTCTTCTTAGATCTCAAGTTAACAAAAAATGCCAATATGTCAGTATGTTTCAAGGTAACAACTGTGGTGTGTGAAAGGAAGGAGCGACACACAGCAGCAATTCACCTGAGAATTCTGCTTTATTAGGGAAAGGTGCTGGGTTATATAGGAAGGGGCATGAGGTGATTGTGGTGTTACTTCTACGGGGCTGGTGGCTATTGGCTAGGTGCTGGGATTGGGAGGGGGGAGAGAGGTGATTGGGCTTCAGGTGGCGCCGGCGGGAACCGAGGACCCGGAAGAGAAGCAGGAAGTTCGCCATCTTAGGCGTGGGGGCCCTTCAGTGTGAAACAATTCAACTTCACATAGATGTTAACTACTATGCAGAAACTTATCCTTTTGAGAAGTCAGTTTCTGCTGTTTCCTCTCCACTTTCCTAGATTACGATAGTCTGCTTGAGAATGACACTGATAGCAAATGAAATGAAAAATGCTATAAACAATTTAACAATCTCTATTTTGAAAAACAAACTATATAGATACTAAACAATGCGTTGTGTGAATGACACTGATAGCAAATGAAATGAAAAGTGCTATAAACAATTTAACAATCTCTATTTTGAAAAACAAACTATATAGATAATAAACAATGCATTGTGTCAATAACTTATTTCTTCATACCCAACAACCAGATTATAGAATATATAATGTGTCCTCAAAAAAAACCCCAGCTATGTGTGAATGATAACTAAACTTAACACCATGAATTTCAGGAAAGGCTACTTTTCAATCAGACGTGAACTTCTGCTTTCCATCTCTTCCATTGCTCCCAATACTTGCAGGGCTTGCTGGCTGGTCAGTTCATCTGACATCAGTAATATAGCTGATTTAAGTCTAGAAGGAAAGAACAATATTTTTATGATGAAGAACTGATGATTAGCTTATAAAAAGCTTTTTAAAAAGAAAGTTCTTAGGTAATGAATACAAGAGAAATAATATAAACAAAAAGTGAATCCCATATATAATTCCAACTTTCTCCATACATAATTGAGGATAATATAGTATTGAATAAAGAAAAATATATTACTTTCTTCAAAGCATTTAAAGCCTCGGCACAATAAAATCTTCAGCTACCTCTTACAAAACATAGAGAAAATGTTCTTATTTTAAAATAAAGTAAGGTTACAATGGTTGTAAGACACAATGATTCAGTGAAATTATTCAGTAGTACAAAGGTAAAAAGCTAACAACTGACATTCTAACAATACCCAAATTTTAAAAATTGAGTAAGATCTCATCAAGAAGCCAACATAGCTGCATACAAAGAGAAATCTTATATATTAAATACTTGCTGTAACACTATAAACTGAAAGTTTACAATGATCCCTTTTAAAACTATCCAAAGCAGCCCAATAATAAAGTATCTAAATATAAACTGAGCCTTTCAGAGTAATTTAGAAAATAGGCCCAAAACATGCAATCTGCAGAGAGCAGGATAAACTAATTTTCTATTCATACTAGGTAGCTCTACACCATCCTCGCTACCAACCTTATCAAACATTTCAAATCCAGCTTCTCCTCAAAGCTTTTCCCAACTACTTAACGTCTTCATTTTTCTCTCATTTGTCTCCCCATAGCACTTACTATCTATACCACTAATTTGAGTACTTATTCGTAAATAATATTGCAGTGTTGTGGTATTTACATATTTCAATTACGTATTTCTGTTCTCCCAATTGGAATAGAAATTCCTTGAAGGCAGGAACCCAGTTAAATTAAACTCTCGTATTGCTTTAGCATATGAGATTTTAATAGCACTGGATCACCAAAAAAAAAAAACAAATGATTCCAATAAAAGCTTTTTGAATAATCACCTTGTTCCCAACTTACTACACTCCTAAAATGTGCCCTTTAATTTCCTCATTTAATTCAAAGGACTCCTAAACATAAAACTCTCCATGAAGGTTTTGCTAGCAGAGTAATGATGTACATACCTCTATTACACAGCTCCTGGAACCTGTTAAATTCTTACAAGAACCTGTTATATTCTGCTTAAATGAATCTATTAATCATATTTATTTGCTCATAGCTACTCATTGTGTATTAAATAAGGAAAAATATATTGTTTTATATTCCAAATATTTCTATCTATATTAATATCTGGCAAAAATTTAAAGAAAAAATTTAAAGGATAGAGGACAGGCCAAATTCATTCAAACCCGACATGGAAACATGTATCAGTGCACACAGTACATCCCTTTGATGATAAATGTGAAGACTAGTATAGTATAGTAGTCTATACTATAGTATATAGTGAAGTATATAGATATAGTGAAGACTACTATAATTCTGAATATTCCACACCCCATACTGGAGGTGAGGGAGTCTTATACCTCTATGTAAAGCCAGTCACATGGCTAGGGAGGGAGAATAAGAGAATTTGAATGGTGTTCTCTGCAGTGTTCTCCCTCATCCTTTTCTGTGTTGGCCATCACCAAGGGGTTATTGGCCCTCTTTCAGAACCCAGCAGAGACGCGGTTTGAGATGTAAATTAAAGTAACAGAAAGAATCAAGAGCAGAACATAAGAGATTATTCTCCCTTCCACAGATGCACGGAATAATTTGTGTGCCTTCCAGAACTGCAAGGAGATCTAAGATTAAAAGCACCACATAGTCTCAGTAGAAAAAGCATTTTTAGCTGAACTTACTGCTTTTTTTCTTCAGGCCCTGCCATGGGTCCCAGTGCTACAAACAATTTTACAAAGCTAGCAGGGTGATCAAATAGAGGAATCATTTCAGTTAGTCTCTTTTTAGCTATTATAATAAAGCCAAAACTATGAAACTGTAGAGAATTGTATAGACAAAGTATTTTACTGATGGACTCCAAATCAAGGTGGTTCACGTTTCTTAAAAACATTTCATTGCACTTTTCTAATAGTGGATAATAACTACATTTAATATTTCGAAGAAATTGTACTATTCTTTTTGCAACGTCGACCTGGGAAGAATCTATAGTATCAAAAAGTTGTTCTGTTTTGCTCACTAATTGTTCTTGAAAATGTTGTGATATTAAAGAAGATATGTTGACCATCAAAACAGACAAGGACCTGGAAATGGAAAAAGATACAAAGATTTTTTACATTATATAGGAGTAGTGAACAATTCTAACATTAAATGATTAGATATGAACGGAACTGGTAAAAATATAATGGGTTTTATGCCAAATTTTTCCTTTAAATATTACTGGGGCCTGAACTCAGATATCCTAGTAATTAAACAACTTTAGACAAAAAAGCATTGAAACTGTATTTTTTATTGAGTATGTATAGTATCTCTTTCTATAGATTAACTGTTTTAAAGGAAATATTTCAGTGACATTTACTTATAAATCATTTTGGACCAACAATCCATGAATGCAACATTAAAAGTCTCATTTTAATTTTTGGAAGTAGACTTTGCTTTGCTACTCCTTTCTCTGTGTGCCTGTAATTTACTAATAAAAATCTTGGCAAAATTCTCTCACTAATGAATGATTTCATATTTTTTAATGTTTCATGATAGACTGATATTAATAAACAACAGTAAGACAATACCAAACATGAGATACCATTTAATATTTCTGCACTCAGTAAATACTTCTAAGGAACATCAGTCATTCTCTAGGCACTGAGAAAGATACCAAACTTACAAAGGTGTGGTCACTGCTTTCAAAAGTCAGTTCTTACATTATACAAAGATCAGGAAACTACAAATATGAGAATGTACTTATAATGAATAGGGAATGCAAAATGGAAAAGACATTAAACAAACACTTGGGGATGATAATAAGAATCTACACAAGATACAAAAATATAAAACTATTTCAAACATTAGCATAGTGGGACTGTTTGTATTTTTTTTCCAAATTTCAATTAGTAACCTAACATTACTATTTAGTCTAACCACAGAATCCCCTGGAATGACTTTTTAAATTTTGTATGTATTTGTAATTTCAGTTTTGAGTGGAAAATGTCCAAAGACTTCATTAGATTCTCAAAGGGATCTATAAGAAATTTTTAAAGTTAAAAAAATTTAATGATTTTTATTGTCTCAGCATTTACAAGCTAATTTAGTGTACACACGTGTGTGAAAATATTTACCATTTTAAACCTGTTTAAGTCTACAGTAAGTGGTATTAAGTACATTCACATTGTTATGCAACCATCACCACCATCTACCTGTAGAACTTTACCATCTTCTCAGAGTAAAACTCCTTACCCATTAAACAATAACTCCCCATTCTTCCCTTCCCCCAGCCCCTGGCAATAACCATTCTACTTTCTGTTTCTATGAATAAGACTATTCTAGACACCTCACATAAGCGGAAACACATAATATCTGTCCCTTGTATCTAAGTTATTTCAGTTACCATAGTATCGTTAAGGTTCACCTGTGATGTAGCCTGTTTCAGAATTCCTTCCTTTTTAAGGCTGAATAATATTCCATTAGGTGTATATACCACATTTTGACTGTCCATTCATCTGTCAATGGACATTTAGGTTTGTTTCCACATTTTGGCTATTGTGACAAATGTTGCTATGAACACTGGTGTTTATGTTACAGACTGAATTATGTCCCCTCAAAAATTCATTATGTTAAAGCCCGAGCTCCAGACTATATTCTGAGATAGGACCTTCTGGGAGGTCATTAGGGTCATTAATTATTAAATGAGGTGATAAAAGTGGCAGGCAAAATTGTTAGCTTACAAGTTAAGTAAAATCTCCAAAATTTCAAGACCTCAACAATATTGTGCTATGCTTTATATACTTTAATCTCTAACTCCCACAGCAACATTGCAAAGTAGATACTACCATCCCTGTTGCATAGATGAGAATAACGTACTTCCAAAAGATCAAAGTCACATAGTTACAAAGTGGCAACTCTCTGCTTGAGAATGACACTGATAGCAAATGAAATGAAAAATGCTATAAACAATTTAACAATCTCTATTTTGAAAAACAAACTATATAGATACTAAACAATGCGTTGTGTGAATGACACTGATAGCAAATGAAATGAAAAGTGCTATAAACAATTTAACAATCTCTATTTTGAAAAACAAACTATATAGATAATAAACAATGCATTGTGTCAATAACTTATTTCTTCATACCCAACAACCAGATTATAGAATATATAATGTGTCCTCAAAAAAAACCCCAGCTATGTGTGAATGATAACTAAACTTAACACCATGAATTTCAGGAAAGGCTACTTTTCAATCAGACGTGAACTTCTGCTTTCCATCTCTTCCATTGCTCCCAATACTTGCAGGGCTTGCTGGCTGGTCAGTTCATCTGACATCAGTAATATAGCTGATTTAAGTCTAGAAGGAAAGAACAATATTTTTATGATGAAGAACTGATGATTAGCTTATAAAAAGCTTTTTAAAAAGAAAGTTCTTAGGTAATGAATACAAGAGAAATAATATAAACAAAAAGTGAATCCCATATATAATTCCAACTTTCTCCATACATAATTGAGGATAATATAGTATTGAATAAAGAAAAATATATTACTTTCTTCAAAGCATTTAAAGCCTCGGCACAATAAAATCTTCAGCTACCTCTTACAAAACATAGAGAAAATGTTCTTATTTTAAAATAAAGTAAGGTTACAATGGTTGTAAGACACAATGATTCAGTGAAATTATTCAGTAGTACAAAGGTAAAAAGCTAACAACTGACATTCTAACAATACCCAAATTTTAAAAATTGAGTAAGATCTCATCAAGAAGCCAACATAGCTGCATACAAAGAGAAATCTTATATATTAAATACTTGCTGTAACACTATAAACTGAAAGTTTACAATGATCCCTTTTAAAACTATCCAAAGCAGCCCAATAATAAAGTATCTAAATATAAACTGAGCCTTTCAGAGTAATTTAGAAAATAGGCCCAAAACATGCAATCTGCAGAGAGCAGGATAAACTAATTTTCTATTCATACTAGGTAGCTCTACACCATCCTCGCTACCAACCTTATCAAACATTTCAAATCCAGCTTCTCCTCAAAGCTTTTCCCAACTACTTAACGTCTTCATTTTTCTCTCATTTGTCTCCCCATAGCACTTACTATCTATACCACTAATTTGAGTACTTATTCGTAAATAATATTGCAGTGTTGTGGTATTTACATATTTCAATTACGTATTTCTGTTCTCCCAATTGGAATAGAAATTCCTTGAAGGCAGGAACCCAGTTAAATTAAACTCTCGTATTGCTTTAGCATATGAGATTTTAATAGCACTGGATCACCAAAAAAAAAAAACAAATGATTCCAATAAAAGCTTTTTGAATAATCACCTTGTTCCCAACTTACTACACTCCTAAAATGTGCCCTTTAATTTCCTCATTTAATTCAAAGGACTCCTAAACATAAAACTCTCCATGAAGGTTTTGCTAGCAGAGTAATGATGTACATACCTCTATTACACAGCTCCTGGAACCTGTTAAATTCTTACAAGAACCTGTTATATTCTGCTTAAATGAATCTATTAATCATATTTATTTGCTCATAGCTACTCATTGTGTATTAAATAAGGAAAAATATATTGTTTTATATTCCAAATATTTCTATCTATATTAATATCTGGCAAAAATTTAAAGAAAAAATTTAAAGGATAGAGGACAGGCCAAATTCATTCAAACCCGACATGGAAACATGTATCAGTGCACACAGTACATCCCTTTGATGATAAATGTGAAGACTAGTATAGTATAGTAGTCTATACTATAGTATATAGTGAAGTATATAGATATAGTGAAGACTACTATAATTCTGAATATTCCACACCCCATACTGGAGGTGAGGGAGTCTTATACCTCTATGTAAAGCCAGTCACATGGCTAGGGAGGGAGAATAAGAGAATTTGAATGGTGTTCTCTGCAGTGTTCTCCCTCATCCTTTTCTGTGTTGGCCATCACCAAGGGGTTATTGGCCCTCTTTCAGAACCCAGCAGAGACGCGGTTTGAGATGTAAATTAAAGTAACAGAAAGAATCAAGAGCAGAACATAAGAGATTATTCTCCCTTCCACAGATGCACGGAATAATTTGTGTGCCTTCCAGAACTGCAAGGAGATCTAAGATTAAAAGCACCACATAGTCTCAGTAGAAAAAGCATTTTTAGCTGAACTTACTGCTTTTTTTCTTCAGGCCCTGCCATGGGTCCCAGTGCTACAAACAATTTTACAAAGCTAGCAGGGTGATCAAATAGAGGAATCATTTCAGTTAGTCTCTTTTTAGCTATTATAATAAAGCCAAAACTATGAAACTGTAGAGAATTGTATAGACAAAGTATTTTACTGATGGACTCCAAATCAAGGTGGTTCACGTTTCTTAAAAACATTTCATTGCACTTTTCTAATAGTGGATAATAACTACATTTAATATTTCGAAGAAATTGTACTATTCTTTTTGCAACGTCGACCTGGGAAGAATCTATAGTATCAAAAAGTTGTTCTGTTTTGCTCACTAATTGTTCTTGAAAATGTTGTGATATTAAAGAAGATATGTTGACCATCAAAACAGACAAGGACCTGGAAATGGAAAAAGATACAAAGATTTTTTACATTATATAGGAGTAGTGAACAATTCTAACATTAAATGATTAGATATGAACGGAACTGGTAAAAATATAATGGGTTTTATGCCAAATTTTTCCTTTAAATATTACTGGGGCCTGAACTCAGATATCCTAGTAATTAAACAACTTTAGACAAAAAAGCATTGAAACTGTATTTTTTATTGAGTATGTATAGTATCTCTTTCTATAGATTAACTGTTTTAAAGGAAATATTTCAGTGACATTTACTTATAAATCATTTTGGACCAACAATCCATGAATGCAACATTAAAAGTCTCATTTTAATTTTTGGAAGTAGACTTTGCTTTGCTACTCCTTTCTCTGTGTGCCTGTAATTTACTAATAAAAATCTTGGCAAAATTCTCTCACTAATGAATGATTTCATATTTTTTAATGTTTCATGATAGACTGATATTAATAAACAACAGTAAGACAATACCAAACATGAGATACCATTTAATATTTCTGCACTCAGTAAATACTTCTAAGGAACATCAGTCATTCTCTAGGCACTGAGAAAGATACCAAACTTACAAAGGTGTGGTCACTGCTTTCAAAAGTCAGTTCTTACATTATACAAAGATCAGGAAACTACAAATATGAGAATGTACTTATAATGAATAGGGAATGCAAAATGGAAAAGACATTAAACAAACACTTGGGGATGATAATAAGAATCTACACAAGATACAAAAATATAAAACTATTTCAAACATTAGCATAGTGGGACTGTTTGTATTTTTTTTCCAAATTTCAATTAGTAACCTAACATTACTATTTAGTCTAACCACAGAATCCCCTGGAATGACTTTTTAAATTTTGTATGTATTTGTAATTTCAGTTTTGAGTGGAAAATGTCCAAAGACTTCATTAGATTCTCAAAGGGATCTATAAGAAATTTTTAAAGTTAAAAAAATTTAATGATTTTTATTGTCTCAGCATTTACAAGCTAATTTAGTGTACACACGTGTGTGAAAATATTTACCATTTTAAACCTGTTTAAGTCTACAGTAAGTGGTATTAAGTACATTCACATTGTTATGCAACCATCACCACCATCTACCTGTAGAACTTTACCATCTTCTCAGAGTAAAACTCCTTACCCATTAAACAATAACTCCCCATTCTTCCCTTCCCCCAGCCCCTGGCAATAACCATTCTACTTTCTGTTTCTATGAATAAGACTATTCTAGACACCTCACATAAGCGGAAACACATAATATCTGTCCCTTGTATCTAAGTTATTTCAGTTACCATAGTATCGTTAAGGTTCACCTGTGATGTAGCCTGTTTCAGAATTCCTTCCTTTTTAAGGCTGAATAATATTCCATTAGGTGTATATACCACATTTTGACTGTCCATTCATCTGTCAATGGACATTTAGGTTTGTTTCCACATTTTGGCTATTGTGACAAATGTTGCTATGAACACTGGTGTTTATGTTACAGACTGAATTATGTCCCCTCAAAAATTCATTATGTTAAAGCCCGAGCTCCAGACTATATTCTGAGATAGGACCTTCTGGGAGGTCATTAGGGTCATTAATTATTAAATGAGGTGATAAAAGTGGCAGGCAAAATTGTTAGCTTACAAGTTAAGTAAAATCTCCAAAATTTCAAGACCTCAACAATATTGTGCTATGCTTTATATACTTTAATCTCTAACTCCCACAGCAACATTGCAAAGTAGATACTACCATCCCTGTTGCATAGATGAGAATAACGTACTTCCAAAAGATCAAAGTCACATAGTTACAAAGTGGCAACTCTAACTGTGAGTACATCCAAAACCCAGAATCGTTCCAGTACAACACAAGGACCCCAAATAAATTTACCTCAAGTCCTGTATGGTATCCAAGTTCCTTTTTACAATATCAGCGATTTTTCCCATTAATGGACTGAAATATAAATGTTGATGTGCTAGGCAAGAGGAAAATTTTGACAGCACATTAATATCAAACCTATTAAAGGAAATACACAAAGGAGATCATTACTCTTTACCTTCAGTTAAAACATACTATAGTTATAAAATGAAAAGCAATCAAAAGTACTAATACATTACTAACAGAAATGAAATTTTTCTAAAATGTTGATCATTATTATTAAAGCAACCCATGCTAACAGTTAAAAAGTCAGATACTATTGGAAGAGCTTTAAAAAGAGAAAAACACTCAAATTAATTTGAACCATTACTAATTTTCTGAGGTGACAGTTGTATAAAACAAACAGTAGTTGTAGTAACAACTAAGCAATGAAAAACTTCATAATTTTCCTAAAGGAAAAATGACCCAATTAAAAAAAAATTAAATGGCAAGATGAAAGAAAGGAAAGGAGAGAACTGGCATAGATCTTCAAACACTCTGAACTCATTAAAACAAGAATAAGGGCATTCAGAGCAGTACAATATGTAATAGCAAAAAACTGCAAATAATTCAAATGTCCATGAACAGTACAATGGCTATCACAGAATACCACACAGCAATGAAAAAGAACTACTCAATCATGCAAAACTTAGAGGAATCTTTGAAACATACTGAGAAAACGAAATTTATGACATTCTATTTCTACAAAACCAAAACTAATTTATGGTGTGACAAGTCAAAATAATGATTACTCTTCCAGGGAGGGCATGACTGGACAAAACATGTAGAGAATTTCTGGTGAATTAGTGATGTTCTATTTCTTTATCTTGGTGCTATTACACAGAAGTGATCAAGCTGTACACTATTAGTGTAATTTCATATGATATACTTCAAACATGTTTACTTACAAAAAAACTTGAGATAAAGCAACCAAATGCAATGTGTGAACCTTGTTTAGACAGTGATTTAATAAACAAAATCAAGGAAATTTGAATTTTCATGAGTACAATAATGGCATTGTTATTGTATGCATTTTTTTGGTATAATTGATATACAATTACATGAGAAACATCGTGGTTACTAGATCCCCCCCATTATCAAGTCCCCACCACATACACCATTACAGTCACTGTACATCAGGGTAGTAAAATGCTAGAGTCCCTACTTGTATTCTCTACGCTATACTGCCTTCCCTGTGCACTCCCCCACCCACATTATGTGTGCTAATTGTAATGCCCCTTATTCCCTTTCTCCTTCCCTTCCACCCATCCCCACCCCCAGTCCCTTTCCCTTTGGCAACTGTTAGTCCTTCCTTGGGTTGCGTCAGTCGGCTGCAGTTTTGTTCCTTCAGTTTTTGCTTTGTTCTTATGCTCTACAGATGAGTGAAACCATTTAGTACTTGTCTTTCTCCGCCTGGCTTATGTCACTGAGCATAATAACCTCTAGCTCAATCCATGTTGTTGCAATTAGTATGATTTGTTTTCTTCTTATGGCTGAATGATATTCCACTGTGTACAGATACAACATCTTCTTTATCCATTCATCTACTGATGCATACTTAGGTTGCTTCCATTTCTTGGCTGTTGTAAATGGTGCTGTGATAAACATAGGGGTGCATATGTCTTTTTGAAACTGGGCTCCTGCATTCTTAGGGTAAATTCCTAGGAGTGGAATTCCTGGTTCAAATGGTATTTCTATTTTTAGTGTTTTGAGGAACCTCCATACTGCTTTCCACAATAGTTGAACTAGTTTACATTCCCACTAGCAGTGTAGGAGGGTTCCCCTTTCTCTGCATCCTCACCAGCATTTGTTGTTCCTAGTCATTTTGATGTAGGCCATTCTAACAGGTGTGAGGTGATATCTCATTGTGGTTTTAATTTGCATTTCTCAGATGACTAGTGATGTGGAGCATCTTTTCATGTGTCTGTTGGCCATCTGAATTTCTTCTTTGGAGAACTGTCTGTTCATACCTTCTGCCCATTTTTTAATAGGGTTATTTGCATATTGGGTGTTGAGGTGTATGAGTTCTTTATATATTTTGGATGTTAACCACTTGTTGGATATGTCATTTACAAATATATTCTCCTATACTGTAGGATGCCTTTCTGTTCTTCTGATAGTGTCCTTTACTGTACAGAAGCTTTTTAGCATTTGTTCATTTTTGAACAAATGTAGTCCCATTTGTTCATTTTTGCTTTTCTTTCCCTTGCCCGAGATGTGTTCAGGAAAAAGTTGCCCATGTTTACATTCAAGAGATTTTTCCCTTTGTTTTCTTCTATGAGTTTTATGGTTTCATGACTTACATTCAGGTCTTCAATCTATTTTGAGTTTACTTTTGTGTATGTGGTTAGACAATAATCCAGTTTCATTCTCTTGCATGTAGCTGTCCAGTTTTCCCAACACCAGGTGTTGAAGAGATTGTCATTTCCCCACTGTATATCCATGACTCCTATATTGTATATCAATTGACCATATATGGTTGGGTTTATATCTGAGCTCTCTAGTCTGTTCCACTGGTCAATGGGTCTGTTCTTGTGCCAGTAACAAATTACCAAATTGTCTTGTTTACTGTGGCTTTGAAGTAGAGCTTGAAGTCAGGGAGCGTAATCTGCCCCCAACCCCCCACTTTATTCTTCCTACTCAGGATTGCTAGGGCTATTCAGGGTCTTTTGTGGTTCCAAATGAATTTTAGAACTATTTGCTCTAGTTTGTTAAAGTTGCTGTTGTATTTTGCTAGGAATTGCATTGAATCTGTGGATGGCTTTAGGCGGGATGGCCATTTTGACAATATTAATTCCTCCTATCAATGAGCATGGGATGTGTTTCTGTTTATTGGTATCTTCTTTAATTGCTCTCGTGAGTGTCTTGTAGTTTTCAGAGTATTGGTCTTTAACTTCCTTTGTTAGGTTTATTCCTAGGTATTTTATTCATTTTGATGCAATTGTGAATGGAATTGTTCCCCTGATATCTCTTTCTACTAGTTCATTGTTAGTGTACAGGAATGGAACAGATTTCTGTGTATTAATTTTGTATCCCACAACTTTTCTCATTTCAGATATTAGATCTAGTAATTTTAGAGTGGATTCATCAGAGTTTTTATGTACAATATCATGTCATCTGCAAACAGGGACAGTTTAACTTCTTCCTTGCCAATCTGGATGCCTTTTATTTCTTTGTGTTCTCTGTTTGCCATGGCTAGGACCTCCAGAAATATGTTGAATAAAAGTGGGGAGAGTGGGCATCCTTGCCTTCTTTCCAATCTTTAAAGGAAAAGCTTTTGGCTTCTCCCTGTTAAGTTAGATATTGGCTGTGTGTTTGTCATATATGGTCTTTATTATGTTGAGGTACTTGCCCTCTACACCCATTCTGTTGAGTTTTTATCATGAATGGATGTTGAATTTTGTTGAATGCTTTTTCAGCATCTATGGAGATGATCAGGTGGTTTTGTCTTTCTTTTTGTTGATGTGGTAGATGATGTTGATGGATTTCCTAATATTGTACCATCCTTACATTCATGGAATAAATTCTACTTGATCACAATGGATGATCTTTTTGATGTATTTTTGAACTCAGTTTGCTAATATTTTGTTGATTATTTTTGCATCTATATTCATCAGGGATACTGGTCTGTAATTTTCTTTTTTTGTGGTGTCTTTGCCTGGTTTTGGTATTACAGTGATGTTGGTCTCATAGAATGAGTTTCTGAGTATTCCCACCTTTTTTTTAGGTGATTCCCACCTACTTTTAGGAAAACTTTGAGGAGGGTGGGTATTAGGTTTTCACTAAATATTTTATAAAATTCAGCAGTGAAACCATCTGGTCTAGGGATTTTGTTCTTAGGAAGTTTTCTGATTACCAAGTCAACTTCCTTCCTGGTAATTGGCCTATTCAGATTTTCTCTTTCTTCCTGGGTAAGCCTTGGAAGGTTTTATTTTTCTAGAAAGTTGTCCATTTCTACTAGGTTTCCAGTTTTTTAGCATACAGATTTTCATAGTATTCTCTCATAATTCCCTGAATTTCTGTGGCGTACATAGTGATTTTTCCTTTCTCATTTCTGATTCTCTTTATGTGTGTAGACTCTTTTTTCTTGATGAGTCTGGCTAGGGGATTATCTATTTGGTTTATTTTCCTGAAGAACCAGCTCCTGCTTTCATCGACTCTTTCAATTGTTTTATTCTTCTTGATTTTCTTTCTGCTCTAATCTTTATTACGTCCCTCCTTCTACTGACTTTGGGCCTCATTTGTTCCTCTTTTTAACAGTTCCATAAATTGTGAGTTTAGAATGGTCTTTTGGGATTGTTCTTCTTTTGTGACATAGGCCTATATTGCCATATAATTCCCTATTAGCACAGCCATCACTGCGTCCCACAGATTTTGCAGTGTTAACTTATTTTTGTCATTTGTCTCCATATATTGCTTGATCTCTCTTTTTAGTTGGTCAGTGATCCACTGATTATTTAGGAGGATGTTATTAAACCTCCATGTGTTTGTGGGCTTTTTCATTTTCTTTGTGTAATTGATTTCTAGTTTCATACCTTTGTGATCTGAGAAGCTGGTTGATACAATTTCAAACATTTTGAGTTTACTCAGGCTCTTTTTGTGGCCTAGTATATGATGTTCTTGAAAATGTCCCATGTGCACTTGAGAAAATGTGTATCCTGCTGCTTCTGGATGACGTGTTCTGTACATGTCCGTTACATCCATCTTTTCTAATATGTTGTTCAGTGCCTCTGTTGCTTTACTTATTTTCTGTCTGATAGATCTGGCCTTTGGAGTGAGTGGTGTATTGAAGTCTCCTAAAATGAATGCATTGCATTCTATTTCCCCTTTAATTTTGTTAGTATTTGTATCACATATGTAGGTGATCCTGTGTTGGGTGCATAGATTTTTATAATAGTTATATCCTCTTGTTGGACTGACCCTTTTATCATTATGTAACGTCCTTCTTTGTTCCTTGTTATTTTCTTTGTTTTGAAGTCTATTTTGTCTGATACAAGTAATGCAACTCCTGCTTTTTTTCTCCTTATTAATTGCATGAAATACCTTTTTCCATCCCTTCACTTTTAGTCTGTGTATGTCTTTGGGTTTAAAGTGAGTCT